CAAAATTTGCTAGGCCACAGCAAAAAACATGAATCAAACCATCCCTCACACATTTCATGTGATCGTACTGGTATAAAGTTCTAAATAAAGTTAAAAATAAAGTCAAAATTAAACTCGGATGGATTATTTTCGGTCCACCAACAAGCTTCGATTTTAGTATCCAATATCCGCTGATATTTAAGAGCGGGAAATACCAGCCTCCGAGAGACGAGGAATACTCCATAATAAGCAACTGTGGCATGTTTGGCACTTGCGTCATAGAAGGAACCAATATTACTTCTCAAGTAGATAGTTCAGATATAGGAAAGGTTACTTTCCATGAAACAACTCATAACCCACAAAATTCACCATATGTAATTGGCAATTACCTTACACGTTGTCAAGAGCAAGAGTCTGCATGGCTATTTGTTTATGACATTAAGGCTGAAAAGAAAGTAACTGATGAAAATGTCTTGAAAAGAGTGTCGTTATACAATTGGTAAGTAAAATTCTGTTGATAACTGTTTGCAGTATATACTCAAAATAATCCTACTGAGGGGTTTCAGAATTAACGTGCGGAAAACTAATTTTGATAGAAATAGATAACGTATTTATTTTCAAATAAGCGATGTATCGATTTTATTTCATTTTCCGACAAATTTGTAATAATGATTGTTGTCGTTGAAAAGTTTATTTATTTCGTTAAATGGGGGTCTCTAAACACTCCCATTTCATTTTCCGATTTCAAAGTTTTGATATACAAATAAGATTTTTTAAGCTCCTACTTATTTTCGAAATACGCTATTTTTTTTTAATTCTGAAACCCCTCACTGTATAAAATACTCCTTCTCCACTGATGAAATTGTTAGATTACCTGGTATTATTCAATTTTAAGAATAGAACTCCTGAATAAGACTCTTGGCACTGTAGGCAGTGGTCAACAGTAGCATTTTAATCTTCTTGAATTTTATCATAATGGGATTACGTTGACTTTATTAAAATTCAGCTGTCAATGCCATGTTCCCATTGCACTTGAACAATATTTATAAAATGATTGTCAATATAAGAATTTTAAGCTTCCTATGTTAATTACTATATTTTTTCAAAACTTAAATCTCTACCAAATGAATTTTTACAATAAGAGATTATCAAATTTAGCTTTATTTGTTAGAGTTTTCTCAAAATATAAATTGGAAGCATTTTGGCTTGACATCTGAATCTTTCAATATTTCACTGATAGGCATTATTTCTAATTTATTTATAATGCATTATTAATTATAGTGTTATCGATACAGCAAATTCTCGTCAAATTAACGAATTTTTCGGCGAAATGAATTTTAATTGGATCAAAGAAAAAAATAAAAAAATATTATATAGTAGCGAAAAATTAAAATCTCTAATGACAGTTTAATCTTGGTGAATCAAGTCTTTGACTATGATGATTGTAAGAGTTGTCAACCTCTCGGATTTGTTAATATCATTTCCGATGGTTCATTAAATTCAAAACACCTGAATATAAATGAAAGCATTGGATCAATTGTTTATCTTTCAATTCCTCTGAAATTTATAACTAAAAGGCAATAGAAAACTTTTTAAATTATAGTGTTTGATATAAATTATCGTTTTTTTATAATTTTGAATACATTACTTTCTGCACAAGTTATTCTTAATAGTTCATTTTTAGCAATAAATAATTTAAGAGTAGAGGGTACTATTTATAATATATATATAAAATTAATAGTACTTTGTTTTTGTTTTTCTAAATTAAAAAAATTTTATTAAGAAAAGTGTTTGTGGCAAAATAGAGTTTTGTAATCCGCTATGTTATTTAGTAGTTAACCATACACTTCGTAATTTCATTACTAAGTTTCTTGCATCAATTTTTTTATAATATATAAAAGGAAATAAAGTATTCAATCAAATATTATGCTTTTATATACTAATCATGTCATGCAAAGAAAAACCTATTAAATTTAGTTAAATTTTGTCAGTCATCCTATAATTAATGAATGCTATAATGATTCATTATCTTCTTTGAATGTCTCTTTTTTTTTTAACCGAATATTTAAAAAATAATTTACAGCATGCCTACTAAATCACTTTTACTATGACCACGATCTCTACGTCTTCCGCGACTTTCACGGCTTCCACGATTATTAGTTTTATTTGAAATTGCTTTCTTCACATACAGTACTAAAGAGAAGTATCTCAAATTATTATAAATAATTTTTATCATATTTAAAAGAATATTTCTTAAAACTCCCTACTCACCTGAATTATGTATTGATATGCGTCATAAATATTCGCATTTTTGAAATTTATCACGAATAACATTATCGGGTGTCCAAACCGGCCAACAATCAATAAAGACATCCCCAGCTAAATAATCAGCGAGTATCTCAGTAGGCTTATACATTTCTGATAACAAATAGCGAAAAATGAACACCTTCAATATTAATGCAAAAGCTCCGTGTAGAATTTAAGTTTACTTATTCCACTACTGCCAGTATCATATAATTGCACAAAATCAACATCTGCGTGCTTAATATATATCTGATAATTCTATATCTGCAATTTTTTCTTCAATTAGTTCATATAATTTTACCACATGTTTTAATCTTGATTCACAAACCATTTGTTGAAATTGGGGATTCGCGGTCAGTGCTGATAGTCTCATCCATTTATTTAGATAATAAGTTCTGACAAGAGTTCAGTGGGATTATGTATTGTGATCGTGGAGGAAATCCAAGTTTTTCAGGCGGAATTTGTTCTTGAGAAATTAACATAACACTCAAATTGTTCGAGAAGTTGAAAATAGTTCTTGATGGTATGGAAACACGTCTAACAATGTGAACCATTCTCGTTAAGATGAACTTTATTAAAAAGTAACGAATATGCTAATTTTACCGCAATTTATGTAATTCATATTGGAATCCATGCCAATGACTAATCTCAAGATTCGTTGACTATAGGAATGTAAATTAGAATTCCATTCATAGTTTATAATATTTTTAGGACGTGTCTCAGAAAGTGCTAACAATTCTATGTAATATTGATGTTGTAACCGTTGTTGGGAGAGCTTAATAGAATTATGTGGATAGAAGGCCAATTTAACTCCAACGGTGTACGGGGGAGATAAATATAAACTTAGAGAAACGAAGGGAGTTGTTTCTAACTATCGGAGGTCTATTGAGACAATATAACACTATGAAACGAAGGTTTTAATA